CTCGGCCTTGTCCTTGGTCGTCCAGTCGTCGGCTACATCAGTGATGCCTACGGCCGCATCACCATCTCCATGGCCATGACGGCGTCGTGTGCCATTCTCTGTCTCGCTATCTGGATTCCTGCTCATTCATATGCACTTCTGCTCCTCTTCGCGGTGCTGTGCGGTATGGTCTGCGGGACCTTCTGGGGTACTATTGCCCCTGTGCTTACTGATGTGGTCGGGTTGAACCGTCTCCCGTCGACGTTTGGGATGGTGTGTTTGATGCTGGTAGCGCCGAATTTGGTCGCGGAGGCCATTGCGTTGAGTATGGCGGGCAGCGGGGCCGGGTATTTGAGTGCGCAGGTGTATGTTGCTTGTATGTTTGTGTTGGGAGCCGTGTGTTTGTGGATTCTGAGGTCGTGGAAGTTTTATGAGTTGGAGGTGAAGGGGGTGAGTGAGGGTGGAGAGGCGAGGAATGGGAGTGGGATGGTTGGGGTGCAGGGGTTTTTGAGGTGGTTGAGGCCGGAGAAGTTGTTTTTGAGAGGGAGAGTGTAGGTGTTGTTGATGGTGATGATGGGTACTTGATGGTATTGCAGTGGTTGGTTATAGAAGTGTTATTTTTTCGGATAATTAGATCTAGAGCTAGCTATGGGGTTAGTTTCTTTTTTTATAAAAAGGTTATAGAGAGTAATAGCCCGGTAATGAAATATAAAACAAAAGTTTGCATTTTAGAAGCGTCCAGGTAAGATCATGGATGTATAAATCAGGCTGCACATGTCTGCTTCATAAACAATACCTCTGAAATCCGTGTAAGACTTTATTCATTTAAGATTTTGTTGTAGAGTTGAGAAGCCTTTGTACCAGACAGGGAGTGCTGATCACATAGTAGTTACTTTACACACATAGTAGATACTTTACAGAATCATGCAGTTGCAGTAGGTTGAGAATGGTCTGCCCGACCGAGGAAGCGAAGAACTTGAAGGTAGTCAAGGGCTAGGTTGAACACGCGGTGAATAGGCGCGCGCTATCATCAGCTGAGTCTGCCCCGCATCGCTCAGCCGCCTCCCTCTGGCACACACATTTCCATAGTCACCTGTGCTAAACCGTAACGTAAACGGAATGGCGAGTGAGGATCCAATAGACTTTGCACATACTGCCATAGCCCAGGTCGCTAACATCGCGTCTTTACTGGGCGTTGAGTCCAAGCGACCATTATGTGGGCGTCTCGGGGCTGAGCTCTTCCTCGTCGCCAACTACATCGACACGGCTGGCTTAGACCAGGAGAGCCGACTGCGGCTGCGAATATCCAAGCTACTGCGAGATGTGGAGGCTATGTGCAATGTAAGTGTGGCAGAAAACTATATCTCATGTGAATGGAGCCTGATGAGCTTGGAATAGTGGCCGACGAAAATACCAAGAAATGACTATCCTCTTCTTGAAGCGATAACAAAGCCATTCCCTGACGTGACATCTTATGAGACGGCCCAGAGAAAGATTCGACGAGGACTTGATCAGCTTACCGCGTGTTCTCGTGACGCCGAGGTGGCCATTTCTCATATTCAAAAATTCGTTGAGCGCAATCGCAAGTCATCTAGGCGCGATGAAAGTGGAGATATCAGTTCTAGAAAGAGAGCCGCTCGCCCAGAGCGCTCAGATCTTGCCAACGAGCTTGCTCATCGAGTCCTACGAGAGCAAATGTGCTGTACTTGCCAGACCAATGGAGTGCGTAGGCAAACGGAGCGAGGACATCTAGTGTGTCTCCTGCTACAGCCACCTTCCCAATCAGTGGCCAGTGACAATCTGGTGCAATTTGATATGCTGTTCTCATCAGAGCCCTTCTGGAACCAGTCACAGCTCACTCACTGGCAAGATATTGAGCTGCTTGTGCCAAACGACCATACGCACGGCAAAAAGTGCGTCCGATTTTTTGGTAGAGATGATGGATATAGAGATGAGCAAGCCAACAATTTATCTGCAAAAATAAAACAACGAACAGACAAAGGCCAATTCTGCCGTTTACTCGATCTTGCGAAAGGCTGGCGCCTTTGCCTCTCTATTGAAGACCAGGAGCTCTATCATTTCTTTGAGCCCCACAAGCAGAAAGTTGACCATATTCCGGGAATATCTTTGGCCAAAGTCCTCAGCACCTACCATCTAACGTCACGAATGAAACTCGTACTAGCTTACATAATAGCCTACTCTGTCTGGCAGTACTACGATACAGACTGGATGCGAACAAAATGGACAAGCGAGACTATTCAATTTATGAGAGAAAGTGATACCTCTGGGGGTAGGGGCCAGGGTAAGCTTTTTACCTGGAAACCATATGTATCAGTGCATTTCAACGATGAAGATCCACTGTGTTATGAACAATATAAGGTTCCTGGGATGGTGCATGTCTACCCAAGGATCAGAGCGCTTGGTATTATGCTGGTTGAGATAGGTCTTGGGTTTCCGCTTCCCAAGCGTGAGAATCAGGGGCAGTCCTTGGCCGCCGAAGTGAACGCTGAACTGCTCACAGCCATCAACTATGCAAGGGATGAAGAGCGCTGGAAGAATTTCGACTACCCCGACTATATGAATTCAATACGCCACTGTTTGGAGCCCGGTACATTCGACCAGGCAGCTTGTGTTGAAGGTTTATCTGCCTATGAACAGAGACAACACCTCAAGCAACGAAGAAACATTTTATACGAGAAAGTTGTGTTTCCGCTTGAGAACCTCCTACAGGGCACGAAATGGATCGACAATTATGAAAAGATCGCCCCGCTTAGTGTACTTTCCCAGGATGCGAAAATCGAAGAAGCCACTGTACCGGAAAATCTCGACAAGGGCAAAGCGCCAGAGCGCAGGAGGAAGCGCACCGAAAGTGAGAAAAACGCTAGCAACTGGCTATTAGACTTGAAAGAGTTTAACAGGGAGCTAGCTCAAGTTGCACCAGCAGCGGGATCACGCGGGGTATCCCGGAGCGTACGGATAGCGATTTTGGACACTGGTTACGACGATAATGCCCCGTTTTTCTTTTCACCTGATGTTATGGAACGTCTTAAAGGCTGGAAAGACTGGGTTGATGGCTCGAGCCAGCCCGAAGATTGTCATGGACATGGCACTCATTTGGTGTCTCTCGTTCTGAAGTGCGCTCCCGATGCCGATATCTATGTAGCCCGCATTTCCGAAAGCCCCCATCAACTCTTGAATTCCAGCGACAAAGTTGCAGAAGTTAGTGCTCCAAAGGAAATACTGAATGTGACTCAGCTGACTTGCTTAGGCAATTTCTTGGGCAAGTGGAGAATGGAAAGCCGACATCATCTCCATGTCGTTCGGCTTTGCAGACGAGCAGCCGTGTATCAGTGACGCGATTCGCGAAGCCCTGTACAAACGTCAAGATTCTGTTCTTTTCTTTGCAGCAGCTTCTAATTACGGGGCCAATGATCGAGAGATGTTTCCCGCCAGACACGAGTCTGTCATCTCTATTCGAGGGACGAATTCAAACGGCCTATTTGCAGACTTTAACCCCCCTAAGCATGAAGATGAACCGGTGGTTTTCGGGACTCTTGGCATGGACGTTCCTTCTGCGTGGCCCAACTCTGATGGCGAAGAGTATAGGTCTGGAACATCAGTTGCTACGGCCATAGCGGCTGGAATAGCAGGGTCTCTTCTGGGATATATCAGTTCTCGCCCTCCTGAGAAGCCATTCTACAATGCCAAAAACCGAGCCTGGACACGTCGGGGAATGAATGCAATCTTCAGGGCCATATCCTCTAACACGCTCCAGTCAGGTTATTTGTACCTGACGGTACGGGGCTTGATAGGTATTCCGGAGGATGCCCGGTGGGCGAAAATTGGCGGCAAGTTATCTGGGCTTTGATTATGAGAACTGATTACTCTGAGTCAGGGATCACTCCCGGCTATCGAAGATATACAGCTGACCCGACTATCCCCCTCTCCAATTTCTGTCACAGTCATACTTCCTTGGTCATGATCCCTGGATAAAGTGCCCGGATCAGCTGAACCTATGATGATCTCTTCCACGGCATCGTCGTCCTCATCTGTCTCATCTTCATCATCTTTGCTCAAGTAGGCGGCTTTGTGTCTCAGCTCATCGTATTTAACTCTATCGCCTTTCCAACCCTTGACTTCTATCTTGAGAAGCTGATATGCAAACACTATATCCTCGCCCGCCCGCCAAGTATCTGATTCTTCTGTGCTGGTCGATTTGGCGAGATTAGCTCCAGCGCCAACCTGAAATCCCGGCGATGGAATATTGCCGCCAACCTCAATCTCCCCATTGTGGCGCTGGTTGTTCTCCATACTGGCGGTAAACCCTTTCGCTATCATGAGACCCGTAACCATATAAACAGGGTTCCTGAACCCAGGAATCCTGCCTGCCTTGGTTACAGCCTGAACCCGAGGGGCTTTTGAACGAGCTTGGATTTCTTCAAGCGGAGGGTCGGTGACAAAGTATTCTGTCTCCAGTTGGTCCATCGTATAGTTTGATCGCACATCGCTACCCCGTCCGCCCGACAGCTTTCCGGATACCGTCTGCAGGAACTCTGCCCACAAGCTCATCGAGACATCGTGGCTGTCGCCTCGTTCAATACTTCGCTCGTAGTCCGTAAATCTTTCTATCCGCGGGTAAACTTTCTCTAGCGTCGTCGCATCAACAGTTGTCAGGGCTCGGTGCGGTCGTAGGGGGTGTGATATTATGTTCCCTATTCCGATAGGGCCCGTTCCTGGCTTGAAATGGAAGTTGGGAGAGAGAATATATGTGGGTTGCTGTGCCATTTCTATGAAATAGCTATAGGAAAAAGCCAAAAAACCCCGAAAGAAGACAGGAAAAAGGGAAGGAAAGGGTTCGTCCTCGTCCTACTGAAGTAAGCGCCGTGCAGCAGGAGTGGGGCCGGATCATTATTAGACCAGCGTGACTAGTGAGGCTGCAACCCCTCAGCTGATTCTATCTACTTTAGTACATCTCCACGTCGCATTTAGCGACTACGTACGCAACGAGATACCTGACAGCCATGGAGCGGGGTATAAAAGAAGCGGCACAGCAATGCGTCGGCCTTTTCACGCGGTGCCTGGAAATCCCACCTCTCATGGAAAACGAGTGGGCCGAGAATCGCCTTGCGGATATGAACTTATGGATATCAGGCACCGGAGCCTGCGCCAGAGGACGAGCTTCTTTGGACTCGAGACTAGCCTCGAGGCCCGAAGCTCATGATGTGATCGTCAATTTATTGCGCCTGCTAAGTACTATGATTGACGAATGTCTAAAACAAAGCAAAATACAAGATGTTTCGCACATCTCTCACAATGAAGAAGACCCTGCCTCTTCTGAGAACGAAAGACAAGGGCGAGCATTTTCCCCATGGTCCGATGATTCTAGCTCCGATGGCCAGTTGATGGACCGTCATGAGTTGCGGAATCCATCCAGGAATCTGTTGTATGAGTCAATGTATGACATTGAGTTGATGATGGATCAACTTTCCCGGATCGCAGTTGCCATTCGTCGCTCTGTACGACGCTCACGGTTGCAAAAGGCAGACCAACTGTTCAACGCATCAGAACACCAGAAACTAGAAGGCCACCTTGTTGGAATGTTACTCTGTCAATTAAATGGCCGTATTCAAGAAAGAGACCCATCGCAGTTGAATGAAGTACAATTGCGATTGGTACACTGCAACCTAAAGCGTCGAAATCGCTTTTTGTATTCTCAAAGACACGCCATGGGTCTGGATGCTGGCTACGTACGTCGCACACCTGTACCGAAGCCAGCTGGATCAGCACAGAAGGAGACACCCCAAGAAAGCCCGTGTTGGGAATCCTCAAATAATAGCCCAATGCACGCCAACAACACCGTAATCACGGGAACTAGTGCCTCCGGACTGTCCGATGACTTTCATTTATCGCAATCAAGACACACAGTACACCAAAAAGATCACGCTATATCCATCACGTCTTCCGCAGTATCAACTACTGCACGCGAAGTAGATTACCCGCGCCCGCCTCAGCTTAAAGATGATGCGCGGCTCTTTCGGTGTCCCTGTTGCTGCGAAGCGCTTCCTGCAAAAATGACAGATGAAATTAGGTGGAGGTGAGATTCTTGATACAGATCCAATCACGGCCAAGCTAACACAAGACTAGGAAACATATCGAAGATGATTTGAGCCCCTACACCTGTGTTTTGGCTAGTTGTGATCAGCCTTATGTCCTCTTCAATACAGAGGATAGTTGGCGACAGCACATGCTGAAGGACCACAACAGCATGACATATTGGACATGCTTTGCATGTGGTGATGGAAAACAATTTTCGAGAAGGAAAGACTTTGTACAGCACACAAAGTTCTTTCATGCTGCGACCGTTCCATTAGCCCATATACCAGTCCTGGTTGAGTTGTCCAAGAAGACAATACCATCAGAAATCCGACACTGTCCACTGTGCAATTGGCCAAAAGCCGACGAAGTCGAAGTGGAAAAAGATGCACTGTTAAATCATATCGCTAAGGAGGTCCACTCTTTCTCGCTCCGGGCATTACCATGGGCGGATGATAACGGACAAGAGATTGATGAAAATATTTACAACAGCTCCGAAAAGGTCTACGACTGGCTCGACAGTGAGGGAGATGCAGCAGAAGAAGATGATGAGAATGCCTACAACATTCGTCATGAGTCTCTTCCCCAGGAGCCTATCTATGATATTCGACTTCAGAATGCGCTGCGAGCTGTCAGGAGTGAACTAACGAGTCTTACACAAATAATGAGCGGTAACGCCCTTGCCCACGACAATACTAGTGACTTGTCCAAGCTTTATGAGAAGACACGTGAAGCAAGTCGACTCGCTTATCCAGCGACACGCACGGTAGGATTCATCGGCGACTCGGGTGTTGGTAAATATCGGAAAGATAGCTGATACACGTACTTGAGAGGCTAATTCGTGCGAACAGGGAAGAGCAGTTTGATAAATTCACTTCTAGATCAAGAGGGCTTGGCTCGGTCGGTGGGTTCGAAACAAATCATTATAATATACCTTTGAGAGACTAACACCCGATGGTCTACCCTTCCCACAGAGCGGAGATGGCGCTGCCTGCACCACTGTCGTTACCGAATTCCGAAGTGTAAATGATACCTATCCAGAAAACTATACTGTTGTTGCAGATTTCATGGACAATGACGAGATCCGTGAGCTCCTCGAGGAGCTTTTATCGAGCATTCGGAAATACTACACCGAAGCCTTTCGTGAAGTGAGAACGTCGGAAGAGCAGGAGAATATCATAGTTGCGGCCAAAAGAGCCTGGGACACCTTGAAATCCCTCTTTCCTCATGAGCGGAACCTGGACATTGACTTCCTTGCCCAGGAAGGAGACGAGGCCGTCGCCGCAATCATGAGGACCTTGCTGGAGTGGGCCATGGCGGGCTTAGATACCCGACCAGGAGGGCGTGATAACCTACAGTATACGGTTGTGTCTCACCATGCGGATCAATGCATGAAGCATCTTGACAGACTGATGGCCAATGATGACGACGGTAATAACCCTGCTTTGTGGCCGTTTGTGAAGTTGGTCAGGTATATAACAGAAGTGATCATATATGTAAATGCTGCGTTATGTGGCTAATCTATACATAGGGTCTATTTGCGCTCGCCCGTTCTACGCACGGGTTTAGTTTTGGCCGACCTCCCAGGTACCGTACCGAGATATTATAACGGTGTCATGCAGAATTAAGCTAAGAGCACAATGTTCAGGATTTCGCGACTTAAACTACGCTCGAGTGCGAGCGACGGAAAGGTACCTACGCCACAGCTGCGACGAGGTTTTTATTGTGAGTAATATTATGCGATGTACAACCGATCAGTCAATAGGCGATATCATCCGTCGATGTGCGCGGGGTCAGCCTATCCGCATTGTGTGTACTCGCTCCGAGGTAAGTGCTTTTCAAAGTCATTATATAGGTGACATGAAAGTGACCACTGAAATCCAGGACGTCAATTCAGAAGAGACGGCACGTACCGCTGCTGCAGCAGATGCTGTACGTATCCGGAATATGAACAACCAAATCCGGCAGCTCGATAGCAGGATCATGCAGATAGGTACTCGCAGGCGAAAAGCGCACGGAAGTAGGATGCAGAGTCTCGCTGCAGAGGAAAGTAACCTCAGGTAAGTAGCACTGATGCACGATACTCCTAATTTTCCTATATCTCATTCATTGTAGGGATCAGAAAGAAACCCTTGAGCTTCAGTAAGAACCCTTACTTTGGTTGTTCCAACTAAACATATTGGTCTGATCTGAAACTTGCCAGGTTGATGAAATTCCTCGTCATTCGAAGAAATACATCTGTGACCAACTCTTTGTTGCATGCCTGGGGGGATATGGCTCGCATATTGTGCGTGAGCAATAAGCTCTACTCTGACCATCGAGAGGACGATCCACGACAGGCCAATGAATATTTGGCACTCAGTGGTATCCAAGAACTTCGACGGTACTGCCAATCAGTGCCGGCAGATGCGCAGTTCCGAGCCACGGTGTCATATCTCCAGCATGAAGTACCAGCGCTGCTGGGTTCTATCACGCAATGGGTCTTAGCAGGGACTAGCAGCATGACTATGGCCCGGGCAGAAGTCTTGCGACGGGTTTTGACTGAAGCTGAAAGCACTCTGAAAGGGGTACGGTAATTGTCCTAATATCCAAATGCACTTTGCCCTGTCTAGGTGCAGGCTCCAAAACTGCATCTACTATCTGCTGCTTTGTTATAAATGCCATGATTGCTAATTCGCGTAGAGCACGACTCGTGATGGCTCGCATGTACACTCATTACAGAGTAGCCTCAGGAGGAAATTTTCCGATGCCATTACACAACAAATTCGTAGGCACCGACCTACAACCCATTCATGAAGACCAGAGTAAATAACCCTTCATACAGGCCGAAGTCGACTTGATTGGAGGGACGATGCAGTCGAGGCGAGCTTGGAATGGGCAAATGTAAGTGGGACTCACAGTACCTTAAGAATATTCGTACCTGATTTTGGCTACTTGCAGTGGCACCACATGACATATGCAGCGTTCTGTCGCAACTACGGAACGTATGAAACGGCGAAGCAACCGTATCGTTGCTGGAACGAAGAGATTCTCGGCTCGGGAATTGACCAGCTATCTCTGGCGTGGGATTCCGTGCTCAACTGGCTTGGAGAAGAGGGTAAGAAGATCGAAGACGAAATCTCCAGGATATTTCAAGGGGTACATGATTCTATACACGGTACGCCATTTCCCAAGCGTCCTTAAGGGTTAAAGGGCTGGTGTCATTGACTATTGACTTGTCAGAGCAACGGGATCTGGCCCCAGAAAACCTAGGAAACTTGCTTCTGAACCTCCGAATGCGACGGACGTGTATACTGGACGCTGTTCATTGCTCCATCGAACGTCTAATTGATGACACTGAGTATTGTGCACGAATTTGTATGCTACTGTGAGAGATGGACTAATTTGATTTGCAGAAAAATCATGGATGATACAGTGAGTGGACACGCGAGCTCATATATTGCGGGAGTCATGCGCCCAGTCTATAACCATTGCATGCAACAAAGTGGTATGCTATCTCTCTCATCTTCCATTCAATCACATTTTCTTTTGATGCTAATGCAAAATGGCTCGCATAGGAACGGGAAGTGATTCGCGTCGAAAGCAAACCATGAATCGTCATCTCAGTTCACGTAGTCTGTTCCAAGACTTTGCTGACAATATTGCCCTCGACTATGAAGAAATGATCGACGAAGCATTTGAACAGTTAAATCAGAAGCTTAGCGAGGAGGTTGCTACTATTACCCGAGATTTACATGCTACGGTCACTGTGGAGGGAGAAATCTCTGAAGCTGGACAGCATCCCGAATGTACAGAAGGAGTCAAGCGAGGGGTGGAAACATGCCAAACAGCTTTGGCAAATGCTCAGACGATCGTGCTAGGGTTGAGCTGAGCGAGTGACACGAAGGTGTCCATACACATTTCATCGGCAAGTAGTGACAGGAGGAATAGATTGTCGCGGTATATTACAGTGGTTTGATGTGACCGGAGGGCTTGTTCAGTGAAATACAGACTAAAGAATGTTCAAGGATGCTTTTCTCTTTTGACTATCAAGACAATATAGCGGCCTTTGCATGGTCTATCTATCAAGGCATTTCATACTTTCTCGTCACTTCTTAATTTGTGTCATATGTGTCGCAATCTGAGAGCATAGGCAGCAGAGAACATGAATGATGTTATGATTTGAAGATACTATTTCCAAATGAACAAAGATTTACAAATAATCCGATGTTGTGAAAGTCATGTCAGCAATTCGCTTGTATACAACTTTTGTAATTATGATTAGAACCCGTCGGATTGGATTTTCAACTGGGATTTTTATATATCTATTTATATTGGAATTGCAGCTGAGTTCAATAGCGAGTTATTGTCTAGTAGTCCTGCACAGGCGCAATACACTATCTTGTAAACAAATATATCAGGTCCTAAGACAAATATGTCTACACATACCTGTATAAGATATAATCGCAAATATACCTGTTTGTTTTACAGATCACCTTATACTTAGCCACGAAAAGATACCACCACCTCAAACAGCATAAGCATGATGCTTCCTCCGTGGGAGCAGCACCCATATAGCGATCAATGCAATCAATAGTGCGAGGACGAATGGCTGCAGACTCTGTACTCCGCGCGCCCCGGATATGGCACCGGCGACAAAGGGCAGTCTATTGCCCAAGCGAAAGATTAGCAAGGGAGGTCAAGCAGCAAAAGCTCATAGACAATAGTAGAGTAAGGGTGGCAAACGTACATTGCTCCGCCCCCGCCAGCCAACGCCGACGCAAGTCCGATACCAGGGGTATGTAGGTGCTTGGGAAGCAGCTTAGCTGCCACAACAATGGCTGCGGGAAAGAGAGGGCCAGTAAAGAAGCCGAGCAGTGAGACAGCCACTGCGGACACGATGAACTGCGGTACTAGCCAGAAGATAAGTTCTAGGGCAATTGAAATGGCTAGATAAATGCTGATAGCAATCCGCTCTCCTTAATTACAGTCAGTATTCATGTAGTGTGGCCTTGATGGGGAAAGGAGAAACATGCCCAACCAGTCGTTAACAAAACCGAGAACAAGGCGGCCCACGGTGACACCAGCCCAAAAGCCGGTTGGGATCAGACCAGACTCATAGGGCTCGCCATGACGAACCTGGACCATGAAGTCGACGACCCAGCCACCCACCGACACTTACCAGATTCAATTATCAGTTGGATCATTTGGTTTGATGATCTGGTGGACTGACACACCTTCAACTCCCATGTAAACAAATAGCCAGACAGCTATCAGCCAGGTAATAGGACTTTTCGTAGCCTCTGTAGTTCTGCTCCCACCGCCACCATCGGTACCTCTGTGATTTTTGGCTCTGTAGCTAGCCGCATTCTCATTCCAGAACAGAGTAGAGCTCACCATTAGGTCTAGAATGGATGCACCGAGCAGCGTGTAGTAGAAGTAGTTCCAGCGAAGGCCGGACTTGATCATCTGAGTCCCAACCAGTGGACTTATAGTTGCCCTGCAGTGGTTGTCAGTATTGACAAATGATGGTCATAGATCTTGTCTATAGCCACATACCCGAGACCATAAAATGCTTGAAGGACCCCCATCATAGCATTCGCATTGGCCATATCAGCGATCCAGGAATTCCATGCCGCATCGATGAGACCATTGCCCAAGCCAACAATTACGTAGACAGCCAGCATTACCGGCCAGGGTGGATGAGTTGCCATAATCACATATGGAATGATATGGCATAGGGGACCGATGATTGCTATACCCCGCTGTCCAAGCGTCATGTGAATCTTGTTGACAATGAGCGTGGCTATCGTATATCCGGCAAATGGGGTGACGAATATTAGAGAGACCACGGTGGTAGACAGGTTGTAGTCTTCGCGAAGCTACTTGACTTTCAGCATCTTTCTGGTGAAGGAATCAATTCTCGCCGATCAAACGCATACATATGGGACGAGTGCCTGCAGCATAAGTGTTAGTTTGCCATCCTTATATGTTGCAGGGATCCACTGTAAAGGAGAGCTCACTCCGTAGACACCATCGTTTGCTCCGACAACCGTAAAACTGATGAATGTAGCTAACAGACGCCATCTATTGATGGGAGGATCATTCCATTTTTGCTTCTGCTGCACGATCGCCTCTTCGGTACTCGGCCCGAATGGTTGAACTGGGCTCTGTGACTCCTGTTGACCCTGTGAAACTAGCTCAATTGTGGTTGTTGACATGTTGTAATTTCGGACAGGAGACAAAATAATGCAGTGAAGGAAATGAAGATTAGGGACGTTGCGTTGCGGTTGATAGATACTTGCTACATGTGATCACGGACGCTTCCCCCGCCTTATGAGCTAAAAACTGCCTTTGACTGGCGGTTGTTATGGGGCAGACCCACCAAAGAAAAGCATTGGAGACTCGCAGAGGCCAGCCAAGTGTCTGTGCTGCATCTCGCCCTTGGTTTGGCATTTGACATGTTGCTTTCCTGCCTATCGTAACGATGATCCTATCCGAAAGGAGCAACTCGGAATATACTCCATCAGACAGGCGGTCTGGGTACACTTTGCATGACTGGCTTGTGTTATGAACCTTCCTGAATAGGATTGATTCATCACAGACAGTTATGATGCTGAATGAAAGATAAGAGATCAAATTAGAATTGTGAGCTCGAAATGTTATACTCCGATAGTTGATAGTCAATGTTCGGGCTATTATGGTCAGATTTAAGCTGTGTCCCCACTGCACGGATTGCATTGTTTCACAACCACTGCTGGAACTTACCTGACTTCATGTGAACGGTTGCACAAAGTTGGAAATTGCGATTGCCCATAGGTCGGTATACTAGCCTCAGATTCGATATACAATCGGTAATATATCTAAGTGGTTGTTCCTTTGAACTTTGTTGGACTTTGGCATGGGACGAAATCATCCCAGGCGCTGGTAGTTTCAACTCTTCATGCCCAATCCGAGTCAATATATATTTCACAGATATTCATAACATTGAAATGGTTATCCTGATAATATGGTCTATATATTCAACATTCTCTTTACTCCATCATCTTCCAAAAGTGCAACATGCTCCTTTCTCAATTGGGCCGCATCATTAGTCTCAAACCAAAATGCCCACGTACTCTGCGTATTGATGTCAAGATTGTTCCGGCTGGACTTCAACCCCACATGCTGCAGCTGAGGTGGTGCCAGAGCATATCGAGTCAACTGGCTTTGATCAGCGTATTCCTCTATCATGGAATCCGTCTGGCCATGTCCTCTTGCAGTCAGAAATTCAATAAGACCATCCACACTCTCCCTCGGAAACACCAAGCCCTGAGTGCAGCATCCGAACTTGTTCATCTCAACAACCCCTTGTAGAGGCATTAGGTTGTATTTGCCGGCCATGTATACGAGCGCGGTGAATGCTGGAACGCACACCATAGAGATGACCACAATGCTCAGTGTGTCAACGTGAAGTCGCTCAAAGCGAGTGCGCCGAAGTATCATTAAGGATGAGAATGTAGATAGCATGAGAAGGCCGAATATCAGTGGCATGTTGCTGTATGCCATGTCGGAGTCGCTCCACCCCAATGAGGTTTCTGTGTAGAAAAGACGGAGGTATATCCAGGGATTCCGTGACTGCTGGTCCCGTTGGATGATGTCGGACAGTGCCTTCAATGTCTTCGTGAACCACCCTGTGGCAAGGGTGATGTCGTCTTCGAAAATGATCGTGTAGGGGGCGTTGACATCTTGGCAGGTTCGTAGTGCGTATATATAGTCACTGCACATTATTAGCTGGCTTGGTCCTGGAAGCAGATGGATATCCACCAAGGTTTAGAAGCATATTCATCAACTCACAAAACCCCCTTCTCATAAAAGTTCTTATCTCTCTCCAGATCCTGCAAGTGCTGCAACTGCCCTTCCGACACATTATAAGTATCCGCTGAATCCACGAGCCTGTCCACCCATTTCTGATCCCAACTAGGATGCACTCTCGGGTCTGTATCGGCAAACAGGATACTGAGGTACAATGCTTGCCGCTCTTTTTCATCCAACCCCTCCAACATCGAGCCAACAGATGCTTCGAAATAATGGTCTGAGTCTCGTCGAACGGTGACCATGGCGATACAAGCTGTAGGTGTGCCTCCACTCTTCACGTAGTCTGGTGGATCGATGGCCGAGTTATGCTGCGAGATGAAATGCCAGGCCTCACGCTCACGGTGGAGGCTGTAGTCCAGTTCGTAGACATGGCGGTCTTGGAAAAAGGCAGAGTGTGGATCGCGCCAGAGGCTGATTCGGCAATAGTAGAATATTAGAAGCCAGACTAACAGGCTAAAGATGAGGATTTTCGATGCGCGCAGCTGAAGATAATAGGGGAGATGTGTGAGAATTTGCTTGGCGACTCTATTCAGAAAGATTGGGAGCATTGTCTCGTGGTGATTATAGGAGGAGGGGGGACGGGGAGGGAAGCTCGGAACGTGGCTATAACATTAGCACGGTGGGAGCTGCATTTTGCTAGCATTTATAAGGAAAATTTAAACCATAGAAGGCAGACAGCGCAGGTAGCAGCATTTAGTAGCAGGCAATCTTCTCTTGGCAATTAGCGTAGTCATGTATGGATGATGCGCCCTAAGGGACTGAGTTACGACCAAAAGCCTGGGAAGGCTATCGGTACCCACAGCCACCTGCACACCACTATAGTTCACCTACGGACTCAAGTACACAGGGGCAGGAAGGGTCTACATCCCTGCAACTAGTAACTAACCACAGGGTCTTATCAACTCAGCACATAAGCGCCTAGCACGCAGCTCCACTGTCTGTTCGTCGATTTAATTGACCCACCACCCACGGAATGTCCGCCTATCGAGGACAAAGTGAGACATACAGAGCTAGCTGTGCATTAGTGTGTCAAGTCATTGACCGAACCATAGTTGGTAGAGGCCGGCGCATTTACCGCGCGACTTGGCATTAGTAAGACCGAGAATTTAAATGATGCATTGTTCGAGATTTAGACGGTGGTGGTTATAAGCAACCTGGTAACAAAGAACTCGCGGCACGAACCAAGATTGAGCCCACCCAAATAACATAGGATCGATCAATTCTCTATAGATCCATGGTTTTGACCAGTCCCCCTTACAGTATTCTGGTCATAAACCACCCTCCCCCCCCCAAAATCTTCCGGTAGCGGTCCAATGTAATCAATGAACCAACTTCGCCATCACCCTCACTCCTTTAGACCCCATCTTTGGCATGGCGACTTGATAATCATACAGAAACGCCACATCGTTGGCATCGGTTTCGAACAGTGTCATCTCAAATTCACGAACCAGGGCTGCGACCACAAGATATAGCTCCGCACGCGCGAGTTCGATCCCAAGGCACTTTCGCCCTCCTTTATTAAACGCCATTTGAAACCTTCGTCGCTCCTTCCCAGCCTCGCCGAGCCAACGTTCCGGATCAAAATCAAAAGGATCTGGAAAGACTGTGTCCGCGGTGTGTGCACTCAATGTCGTAGTGCATACCGGAGTGCCCCGTGGGATTGTGTACGACTTGGTTCTGGTGCTGGGCGGACAGGTCGAAGAGACGTACGAGGAAGGCGTATAGGTCAGCGGCTCATAAGCGATACGTGCGGACCGAGCCGTGACGCCGAAAGAAAGCCGATTGCCTTCCTCGATGACCGCAGATAAATACGGAAGTTGCTCGAGCTGGGTCCATGATGAAGGTATAGGGACGGCACGTAGCTCCCTGCGAAGCTTCTCGAGAAGTGTGGGGTTGGCGAGGAGATGATAGAAGATGATGTTAAGTGTCTGAGCTGGCGATTCAGTTCCCGCTAGAACTAACAGGGCTCCTTCTTGCTGCAACCGCAGGGGCATTTTCTCTGAGGCTGGCAGGTTTGGGCTGTCCAGTAATGAGTCAAACACTGACTCTTTGCCGGTTGGTCCAATTTTGTTCTTGACAGCTACCCCTGATTCTTTACCCTTTGTGATCATGAAAATCTCCTCACGAACGCGCTGAATCAAAATGTTAGACTTGGTATATATGTTCGGTACAGAGTCTCACATCAAATAGGGCTAGCAGATCAATAAGGCCTAGAGGCATCATTGGGCGGCTTATGGAGATAGGGAGCGACTCCAGGAAATCGGGGATTTGCGGAAAGTGCTTGTTGATATTGATCCCCATCAAGAGCTCTTTGCTGTTTTGGCGGAGAATGGCGGCTTTCGGTTCGCTTGCAAGTACATCTGTCCGGTGCGCGAAGAGGAAGTTGTTGACAACGCTGGGCAATTAGCCTCGATACCGAGTTAATGACGGGTCAACCTACTCATTCGAGAATGCGAAGAACGCATCTGACAAGTTGACTGGGGTGTCTTCGGCAACATGGGTGGATATCAATTGCTTTAGCTGGTCTACTTTGTCTGAGATCAACCCCTCCATGTGCATAATGTTCCTTTTACTGAAGAAGGGCGCAAGAGACTCTCGCCGGACTTTATGCAGGTCATGGTCGGTGGTTGTGCCCAGTCCACCCGGGACACGAAGGCTCCTCAGCTGATAGCCATACTTGTCCCTTCTGGTCATTGAAGGGGCGTAGATAGTGTCCAAAAAGCCGACGTCATTGATATGAGCCTCATCTGGGGTAATACGGATGATTGGGCCTATAATCGTCAGTGGGGCTCACACATGAAGCAGAGCTTGACATACCATATCGTGTGTGAAGCTCCTGTATCTTGAACACGTATTGACCGGGCTGAATAACGTCGAAATAGAACTCATACCACCAGGTCAGGGCTGCAAGACGGGGACCGGGGATATGGGCTAAGGGGTGGAAATAAAGGCGACGGATAGCTTCACTTGCTGTCCAAAGTACGGACAGCAAGGCGGCAACCCCCAGACTCCAGAGCAGAGACATAATCAACCACCAAATTCGAGGTTCTCAGTGAAAAAGGGATGGAGAAACGCTGACAGTATGACAAGCAAGAGGTAAGAGAAGAAGCTTCTGAAATTAGCCTCGCTTTGTGGGTGAGCCTGACCAGGATCATCCCGGTGTGTAACCTACTAGTCTAGTCAGCATGCCCGTAGCCGCCTCCAGCTGAGAGCAACAAGGTATACACACGCACAAACACACACACACACACACAGACAGTCATACACACACACCTAGAACAAGGACGCGAGGGGAGTACCGGCGACATAGTATTATTTGTTGTGTCGCTTCGCTCTTCATCTCAAAATCATGATTCTTCTTCTTTTGTCGATGGAATCCCAAGAGCACTGTTATCATCATGTCACATACATACGCAACCCCCGCTTCAATCATTACGATCTCTATTCTCTTTCCTGTCTTGGGCACTTTAACGGCGATCCTGCGCTTCTATACCAGAAGGAAGACAAAATCTGTGTTGTGGATTGACGACTGATTGACTCTGCCTGCACTGGTAAAAGACATGTACCCTGAGGCCTTGAAGTTCAATGATATTGACTCAGATAGGGACTGGAATATGTACTCGCCACCCTGATGCAATGGGGAGCAACAACAGGATCCTTAGGGGGTCGTCTTCCTCAACCCGATGACCCACGCCCAGATGCTTACATCTTCTCGAACTCTGATCAACAAATCAGGCTCTTACAGGTTTACATCGCTCTGCTCAAATCGGATTCAAACACTAATTCTTGATAGATCCAATATGTCGCTGACATAGTGACAGTCTGGGCAGTTGGTTTTGCAAAACTCAGCATTCTCTATTTCTATCGCAGCATCTTCTGCAGTAGACGGACCATTCGCACTGCCTTCCACTCTGTGACCATGTGCATGATAGTGCTCGTCTCAGTTTGGACTGTAGTCTTTGGCATTGGTTTAATCTTCATCTGCGGTGCCCATCCCGTGGACGCCTGGGGGACTCTTGCGGTTGTTACAACCGAATGTAGTCTACAGGTCCCGATTGTTGAGGGATATGCCATTTCTGACTTCATTATGGATGTGATTATATGGCTACTACCCCTGCCACGGGTAAGTAGATCATGATAAGGCCACCAACTATCGAGCTCACCCCGCCACAGATATGGATGTTGAACATTTCCGTTCGCCAGAGAATGGCACTTGGGCTCATATTCCTCGTTGGTCTCTTGTAGGTTTGCTTTCTGCAGAGTCATAGCGTGTGTCTGACACCAGTAAAGGGCAATCGCAGCTTCTGCAACACGAATGGCTATCTACATCGCACATCTCATCAATCCCTTCGCCCAATCAGATGGAGAAAGTACGAAGCCAGGAACAATACTAAGACAAAAGCTAATAGAACAGCACTCGTCAAATACCTCCTGTTCTGGACCATGATCGAATGCGGTCTCGGTGTCATCGTTATCTGCCTCCCTTCCTTACGGCCATTGTACAGAAAACGCGAGTTGAACTCTCTCAACATCAGTTTTAAGAAATACCTGTACCGAAATCCCCAGTCTACGACATCGAGCGCTATACGAATCAATAGCCTAAACGGCTCGGCAAATTCTAAATCGTTTAATGCAAACCTTGTTAGACCATGGCATTCCGGGCCAACAACATCTATTGCAGCTGGGCGCAACGCTTCGATGGCCCAACCTCCGTCAAACACAGAGCAAAAAATTCACGTCACGCGGGAAATAGAGCTAACTAGGCTAGGCTCGAGCTAATGCACGGTGACTTGGCTAGGAAGCAGTAGGCAGCACAGCCCTGGTCAGTTTGATCGCTATTAGTACCTTTCCAGTCCTAGGTGACGGGCCAATAAATGTCGATGGGATCAGCCTTTAGAGTTGAAATAACCCTGAACAACATGCATAAGTAGGCTCACCGTATGACAGTGTCTTACCTTCTGACCAGCCCTTCGAGTTACACGGGCGCAGCCAGGGATTTTCAAAAACAAGGCTGAGGCTCAGATAGTCTGTCAAACACGGAAACTCACATTACCTACAAATACGATACCAGAATTAAAATGGTACAGATAAGTCACATCAATGCTTCATCTATGGACACGCTCCAAAGTGCAGCACACCTTGACCCGAAGTGAACATGCCTGCTAAGTTTCGACTTTCAGAAGCCAAATATGCCTCACTTGATCAATCCGGACCCATTAATCCTCCCTCTCTACCCCAGCGCCTCTATGGGTCCATCCTATCCCTTCGTCATATCTGGCGAGAAGTCTTGATAGTTTGTCTTAGCAGCCTTTGTACAGGACTCTTAGTAAACCGTATCTTGGCTCCGCTGGATGGTAGAGCACCCCAGCCTAATCCAGAATACGGTCAGTTATACTATTAATGACTCTCCAACGTTCACTGTATCTAAGAATGTTCTCTAATCAAGCTAAAAACCAAAAGACACGACCTCAAACCATGACCGTTGGACCCAATTCCAATGGACTACAGGAATCTACAGCTCTTCGAAGCCCGAAGATTTCGACGCCGTGAATAAGGCCTGGGAAGAAGTCATCCCAGCGTACGGCTTCGTAGCGGTTGATCACGAATGGGCTGTGGAGAACCACCTCCCAGCGAGCATGAGTCTCCCATCAGATCCTTCGAAGGGAGTGTATATTCTTGATGCGTGAGGCCGGCCTACCCCTCCAGCTGCTGCTTTCTCCACCCCCTGATGTTTTCAAATGAGCCTTTTTTCGTGATACTGAGAACAACAAACTCATAATGAATATGGACTCGATAGGTATCACCAGATTCACTGCCTCACGATAATCCGCCGGACACTCTTGGAGATCCAATCAGGAATGCCCCCCAAAACTCCCCTTCAACATTCTTGGCACTGCTTCGACAGCCTGTTGCAGTATGTTGTATGTGGAACAACCGGAGATACACTTTTTTACACATGGGGACGCAATCAAACCGGTGATGGACAGGCTCGGAAGTGCCTCGACTGGAAGAGCCGGAGAGAGTGGATTCGTCAGAGAACGGCTTGTTATAAGGATAGTGAGCAACCCATTGGACTGGTTGACCATTTTACGAGGTGTGAAGAGGGCGAAATGGATATTGGGGATGGAATTAGGTTTAGTGTGTGATTGGGAGATGTAAATATGGACCACGAGAATGGAAGAGAGAGATTATCGGCTATAGGCTTTTGCCCTTGACTAGAGCTATTCCCCACCTGAAACATGCGACATCTCTATCACACCCCACATAACATTGAGACAACTCCAACGACTCATCTACTACCCTTCCCCAATAGCAGTATTGTCCTGATCATCCACCTTATTGTCACTCTCATCATGTGGCAATGCAGCTCTCTCATGAATCCCACCAGCGTCAAATCCAGCAGCGCGGACACCTGCTTCGAGGGACATTGAGGACTCAGCGGGCCCTACTCCGTGTTATTATCTGCATCATGGTTACTACTTAGGGACATTGACGTACGTGGAATAACCGCAGCATGCACAGTCAAAAACAGGCTAAGAGACCAGATCAAGCTGAACTTCATGGCGAAGGATTGTTGGGGGTTTTGAATGTAGTGAAATCGAAAAGGGTTCTGAAGGTAATTTTGTGTGATGTTTTTGAGACGACAATAGTCGCCTGGCACTTGGCTTAAGTTCTTATATCGGGATCAAAGGAGTGAAGATTTGGTGCAATACATCCAGATAAATGCCTTACGACAGGCGTAATGGTGCACACCCAGGAGGACGAAAAAAAAGAATTGGTGACACCCAAATCACAATCAACAAACAAACATGTCAGTCAGTCACACCATGCACAGTGGGCAAGGGTTTGTTTGTTATGGGCTGTGGTCGAGGCTGTGAAGCAAGAAGCTGATAAGCAAACATGCGCCATGTCCAGAGTTGCGGAGTTGCTGGTGGGAAGGGATCAGCAGCCATCAAGTACTGTTTGCGCTATCCCAATGTCTTCCCATAATGGTATATCTAGATTGGGGGTGTGCAGCCTTGGAAGTGTGCTTGATTAGCGATTAGTGTTGTTGTGAGATGCACACGGAACTTTAGTTTGCGTTGCTGCCTTCACTAAACCGTCGGCATTCGCATCAATAAATTTGTTTAATGCAGTTCAGTAAGTACTCTACCTTATCATATTGCGCCTGTATGAGTAAGGCTGAAACAGGCTGATGGTCAGATTTGCGGACGCGAGGATCCTATTTCATACGAGCTCACTTACTATACAATCGTTGAGAAAAGCACATGACAGTAAAAGGACTATAGCATACAAAAATAAGAATAATAAGAAAGTAAAACTATCCATGCCATCTTAATATATCAAATCATTCCTCGTCGAAATTGAATGTTTCATCCGAGTTAGTACGCCCGACTCCCTGTCCCTTCGCGCCCTGGATACGCACCACTCCCAGCATCGACGCCTTCGGTAGTTCAGTGGTGCAGCTTGGGTTTGTCGCATCGCTGATCCATAGTCCGCCAAAGGCGTTCCCAGTCCCAATCTCGTATATCCCCAACCGCATTAGCCGAGATATCCCTCTTTGTATAGGTATTAGACAGGCAGAGCGTATGGCAGGCTCTGACATCTACCATGTAGTGGCATTGCCCATATCATGCTCCTATTGGAAAGTTATTAGCCGATCTTACTTGTGTCATAGCAAGGAATTTTGCCGTGCTTACCTTGAGATATTCGCTGCCCTTCTCCAAGTATTCCTGCCGAGTGATCGAGGACTTAGCCAATTCTGACCCTGACGCCCACTGCGCAGCACCCTTCCATGCGTCCAAAACCGGGTCATTTGCACGTCGGACGTTGAGTTGAGCGTCCACGGGGAGGTACGCGCGGAAGTCGTTGCGGAGACGTTCGTCGAAGTTCTTGAACATGGTGTTGCCACCCGTAAGGAAAACGTCCCGCAGCAGTTTCGATTGCTCCTCAGGGTTCGGGAATCGCTGGTTCACAATATCGGCAGCAATCTCCAACAGGCCGGCCTGGTCAACGCCCGCAATCGACGGCTTGAACACCACCTCGGGAACGCGGATTCGCTCCACGTTCAGGTGCAGCTGATGAGCCTCACGTTGGCTCTCGGGATCAAAGGGCCAGGGGCCACGCAGGAAGACGTGCACCAAGCTTTTCGTCCAGTCGGATTGTGCTGCGAGCGTGTGATTCTCTGTGAATTCAGGGTCGTACTCGAGTAGCTCCTTCTCAACGGTATCAAGCATGCCTCCAAGGTCCTCCTCTTCCTCCTCATCACTCTGTTCACCTGTAGCCACCGTTCGATAGACACCCCAGTCTTCGTCGTTGGCACCGAAGGTGTCATCGTCCCCGCCACGCCTCCGCTTCTTGGGCCCATCCGCAGCGAGGTTGGCGAGGGTCTTCATACGCATCTGACTGGCTAATGACTTGCGGTTGCCGAGATCCGCCTTCATCCTGTCACGTTCCTTGATCTTTTGCATGATGTTCTGTTGTGTAGACAGGTTAGATATGCCATTATCAGTACGGGGAACAATCATACCTGACGGTTTGCTCTGCGTTCAGCGAGCCAATTCTCGAAATCGTTCTCGCGCTTCTCACGGTCGAGGCGTTCCTCCTCTTCCCGGCGAGCCTTCTCGCGCTCTTTCTCTGCCTTCGCGCGTTGTCGAGCTTCAACGTTGGACTTCATTAGTCGCTGATGGCGCTTTTCTTTCAGACCAGCTTCATCCAATTCTTCATCCGGGACGTCCAATAACGGGAATGACATCTCCTCTTGGGGCTCTTCGGTTTCTTCGATCCCCAGGTCCCGGTTCCGGGATCGTTTGATGGACCGCTCAAGATCCCGAATCAATCGATCTAGATGGGCTTCGTCCTTCAGGTCCTCCGCTTCGAGAATGCGCCTGGCTTCCTTCTTCGTCTCCGAGGCTAGTCCATTCTGTAGGTCCTTGTAGTACTCCAATTCCTGCTCCTTCTTCATCAATTTCTCTAGCCGCATCTTAGCGGCCTGCTCCTGCAACCGACGCCCACTTTCCTTCTTCCTCTCTGCAATACGGGCAAGTTCTTCCTCGGTCTTTTCGGGCACAACATGCTCGGTATAAGGGTACTGGACGATACAGTCTCGCTCCTCCAGCCCCGTCCAGTCTAGGTAGTGGCTCAGCTCTTGGTCGTAGTCCTTGGAAACGTAGCAATGCTTGTGCACAATGTCTTCCATCTGGCTTTCTGTCATCCTCGCAGGGAAAGTCGGGTACTTCAGGCGCATAAGTTTTAGCAAGTATTCCGATGCGTGCAGTCCACCCCAATTTAGTCGCGAGCAGTTGGATAGCAAAGCCTTGTTATTCAGCACGGGAATCACATGCGTCGATGTGTGCGAAGACGAGATGATGAGTCCGTCCTTTCCGCGGTTGTACCGATAGGAGAACAGGGAGTCGATGCCGTAGGCGACGGATGGCGCGGAATAGCACTCGAACAGGATTTCGTTCATCACTAGCAATCGTCAGCAATGCCACCCTTGTAGCCGCAAGCGATACCACTTACTCCTTCTGGGATAGGCGAGGTTCGCGATCGGTTCAGTCATGACAATCGGCCTGTCAACACCTCCATTGGCACCATCAACTCCCAGCTTGATGAACAGATAGTCCAACACCCCCTCCATGACATCCCAGTTACCCACCACACTCGTGCCAGGGTCGAACGCATAGCGCAGCTGACCGCGCGTAGTCGCATCTACATAGGAATCGTATCCGATGAATTGGCAGGCTTTGTTGAGCTTCCGGTCGCGATACCGGCTCATCACAGGAGGAAGCACGAAACGAGGAGATTTGTCGAACGACCAACCGGCTTTGACCAGATTCGAGCCTTCAAGTCGATCGCAAAAGTCAGTAGACCGTACACAATGCAGTCTCAAGTCAGGGCCTTCACTCACCATTATCAATAACTATGGCGCTAGTACTCTTGCTCTTTTCGTAGCCTTCCGGTTGAGGGGGGTGGTAGCCTTTGAATGGGTGGTCCTTCACGTGGTAAGGTTCCGGGGGAGGCTTTTTGGCACCTTTCTCGGTCGAATTGATCGTGAACCGGGTCGGTAGAACCGGCTGGATCGAAGTGATAGCCATGGTGGTTGGACGCAGGCGCTCTTAGCAGCAACTTGGAAGCTTCCAGGTAAAGACCGCTCACTGCATTGCAGTGACTGTCGCAAGGGTTAGTGCACCAGACACAAACTAGCTGATGATAGATGCGCGCTGATAAGGCTGTCAAAGATAGGATGACGCAGGTTGCGGTGATGTTGGTGATGAGGGAGGAAAGGAAATGGGAGCTGGAAAGTTCCCCAGCTTTAGTCGGGGCCGTGGAGGCCTCTCCGGCCACCGCCAGCGCCGCTCGTATGCCGCCAAGCCGGTCACTCCATGCGAGTAACTATGCCTCTTTACGGAACCTAGCAGTCACACTTGGCTGTCCTTACTTGGTCTACTATCCTTTCGAATATGAGAAATAAGTGAAATTCGGTTTTATTTCAAGTGGAAATATCATGTCTTCATTATCAAATAACTAGGAAACACTGTTGGGTATCAAGAACTGGACGACGAGGATGACGGATCTTTCAAATTCTCCGTCGCTAATGCTGGTCAGTCAAACTCGACTAAGCATTCAAAAGAAAATTACCTTCCAGATGGAATAGAACGTTAGACTGGTAGTTTTTGAACATTTGTGCGACAAGCTCGACGTTCATGTTCTGGATATTGACCTCCTAATAAAGCCCATCAGTACTCTATCATCATAGCGGAAAGCGAGAAACCGCGCTTACCTGGAGGCTTCTGTTCATAACCATGATTGACTCATTTAGTTTTTCCTAGAGCCGATCAGCTATTGCAACTCAGAATGCCCTCCGGTTCACACACAATGTTGCCGATAATGCGAGAGAGCAGCAGGGCCTGCTGGTGCTCATGTGGACTTTCCTAGATATGATATTAGCATGACCTTACTACTACTAAAACTTCCACTGCACTGTATTGCTTACCATCTTTGCTATCTGGTGAAGTTTGTGGATGACTTGTTGACGTTGTGTTTGTTTGTTGCTTCTTTGGATTCACGGCAACCCAAGATACGCTGCCACGTGACTGATACCGAGCTGGGAACTGGTTGGAAGGTTCACTATCCAGACATCAAGTCTCCAAAATTGGCTCATTCTCTATCTTCACTATTTCTTTCACTTTATCTCTGGGCGAACAGTAACTATAACTGCGCTATCTGACCATCAGCATCGGCGACATCTGCGCGCATTGTGCATTCTAGTTTCAGACCTCGAGCAAGGCTCGGACGTGGGAGAGCACCACCATACCCCCAGTTTGGCATTGTCAACCAAACCTCCACCACCAAGACACCGACCTCATCCTTTCAAACTAGAACCTCACTCGCATCTCAACGCTTCATCATCACCATGGCTCCTCTTACCCCCGCCGAACAGGAGAATCACCAAGCGCTTCTCGATCGTCTCGACATCGCGGCAGTTTCCCGTCCGTTCCGCAATCCGAATTGGAAGCCATCGCAGCGGCGCAACAAGAACGTCAAGCAGCTTATTTCGGAGAGCTCGAGGAAGGAGGCTTCTGTTATGGCAACACAATCTAATTCCGGCGCAACCACACCACTCCCAGCTACGTCCGCCAGCACCGACGGCAGTCAGACCCCTGCCGATGGCACACCTCGAACGAACATCGCGCAGGCCGCGCAGAACCTCTCGACACTGGTGCTGGAAAAGAACGCACGAGCTGCATTTACATCTGGACCTGCCGTAACGTACACGAATATCGAATCCGCACCCTCATTGCACCCTTCGCAGCAAACCCGCTACTGCGATATAACAGGACTGCCTGCTCCATACACAGATCCTAAGACGAGATTGAGGTATCACGACAAGGAGGTCTTTGGTGTGATTAGAACACTTGGTCAGGGAGTGCCGGAGAGCTATTTGGAGCTCAGAGCTGCACATGTGGTTCTCAAATAAACGATGCTATGATTTTGCTATGGAAATGTTTGTTTTACACTGTAAGATATCAGGGGTAAGTTGTCATATTCATTGCGACGATAATGCGTCGGACTTCTAACTAAAGACAGGCTAGATAGCAGCCTAATCTAATACGCGAATTATGTACGGCCAACACAGTCAAGCCCTTTCCACCCACCATGCCCCTCTCGAGACAGGTTCAAAGAAAACGCTCCGGCTTATTCGTGACCTTATTATGAAAGTTGATCTTCGCCTTGTGCAAGATGCACTCGACTAGTACCGAAGCTCCAGGAACCGGAACATCAGTTACAGCATCCGAAGATGCTGTCGCCGCGGCGTGAAATGAGTTGAGCCCAATGGCTCGCCAGGTATATACGGGCAGAATAGTTGCAGTAATAGAGTTGCCGATTGAAGTCATCTTGATACCTCAAATCATCGTAGGCACCCCTTCCGTAGAAGCATTGCGTGTCTCTTACAGCGCTGTATCCATCATATCGTAGAAAGAGTGCACATTGAAAGCTTGACAAGGTGTCCCATCATCGAAGACCCTAGTAAATGGCATGCAATCCGAGTGATATTGTCGACGAACATCATCCTCCCAAGATGGTAAACATCAGAAGGTAGAATCGGTTGAGAAGTTGAGTTGAGAGAGCCGAAAATAGCGGGCTGTGCGAATATTGTTGATCGCCCGACCGCCATCCGAACGCGGAATAGCACAAACCTAGCCAAGAAAGGGACGTGGCAGAATTGGGAATTTTGCGCAGCAGCCGCAGTTGGTTCCGTGTTTACTCGCATTGCTGGCCGCCTGTACTTCAAGAGTTTCGTGAATCTTCCCGGACGAGTACCTATATATCGGTGTGCGATATCTTCAGCCTTTTTGATCTCTAGTCATTTGCGGGTTTACTGCCTCCTCGTCCATTCCACGATATATAGTGCCCCGTGCACGCGATCTCCGCAAGCCCCCGAATCCCCGAGCGACGAACGCAGCGCATCGTTGGGAGCTATAATCCACCTTGAATACCTTTAGCTTCAGTCCTCGACGTATTATTTGCAACTTTTATATCAGTGCGCGCGCTTTTTCATTAAATCAGAAAACAGCCAATATGCCTACAATGTGGCTATCCGATAATCAGAGTAAGAAACGCCTACTTTGCACACTTCGCACACGAGCATATCCGGATCATTGGCTAACGCACGTCCTTTCTACAACAGAGATCGGAGTGATCTTCTGCTCAGCTGGTATGTCTACATAACATGCTTGCAGCGACACCATAATCCTACATAAATAACTGATCGATACACATACTAACGATGTCCCCCAAACAGGAGGCTTGTTCCTCTTCGGCGGAGTCCTAATGTTCTTCGATCGCTCACTGTACGTCCATATCCACATACCCAGACATCTTCAAAGCACAAAGCACATAATATAACTAACAAATCTCACCCAATAGACTGGCAATGGGCAACGTACGCTACCCCTAATAATCCCACCTCACTCTCCTCACGGAACGCGATGAACAAACCCAACTAACCCAACCCAACCACACACACAGATCCTCTTCCTCATCGGCCTAACCCTAATCATCGGCCTCGAAAAGACCTTCGCCTTCTTCTCACGCCGGCAAAAACTCAAAGGCACCGCCGCCTTCGCCGCCGGAATCCTCCTCATCCTCCTCCGCTGGCCGCTCACCGGGTTCATAATCGAGCTGTACGGTCTCTTCATCCTCTTCGGCGACTTCCTGATCACCATTGGCCAGTTCGCGGGGAATATCCCCGTCGTGGGACCGTTTATTCAAAAGGTGTTGGAGACGTTGGCGGGTGGAAGGAGGAATGCCGAGTTGCCTGTATAGAGAGAACACTCGTTCGCTCTTGATGGTGTTGTGTTGGGCATGGGTGTGAGTGAGGAATGATTTTTTTGATAACAATGACGATGATGATGGAGGGATCTTGACATGTTCATGTGTATGAATAGTTATGTGGCATTAGGGTTTACTTCTTGTTTTTTTTTTCTTGTTACGAATATTTGCATGATGGGATGGGATGGGTATGGGATGGTGTGGTGGGTTGTGGTATGGACTACTATTCGTTTGTTGGTCTGGGTCCCATAGTACCTACTACTGCTACTGTCTGGATGAGCGGGGTGGTTGTGGTGGTGGTGTTGTTGTTCGCTTTTACAATAGGGTTATTATTATGTACTAGAGACATTTTTAATTGTTAATATATCTTTTCCGATGAGGGGAGTTATCATGATCCTGGAGAGACAGTCTTTCTTGCGATGTTCGGTAGTATGAGTTGTGAGTTGGTTGGTAAGTTGATATGACGATGAAAAGCTAATGTGAGATTACCTTATTGTGCATGCTGCATAGATCGGAGCTGTCATAATAACAGAGTGGCCGGTGATATCATTCGGAATGCGGGACAAACAAGTGTGGAACGCTAGATAGCTTTGGGCTGTTAACTTTCTTTCCTGAGCATGTGAAATGGCCGGTCTGGGCTTCCAAATTTTCAAAATAGTTTTGTTGAAATGGCTTTACTTGTAAGCACATAATGTACAGATAGGAATCTACGTGTGGTAATAAATGCCAATTGATGCGAAGAATACCGGAGAGAGAAAGACAATCGAGAAAAGGAGACCACCATGATGATTTACATTTAAATAACCAGTATTACCGACTGTCCCTTGCTCAAGGCGAGACAAAACACAATTTCATTCTGCTTTTTAAACCCATTCACCGGGGGTTGTTGATGTAGTCAACGAGGTTCTCGACCACAGTAGCGGCATTCGTGGTCTGGGCGTTCTCAGCGTGGTGGGCGACCATGACGCAGGAGACGGCCTTGACGACGACGATACCCTCCTTGCCCTATTTGTTTTCACAAGTTAGTGAAAAGTGGATATTTCAAGGGAGAAATAATGGCGGAGGCAAAGTGTGTGAGACAGTACCTTCTTGCCGTACAGACTGCGGTCGTCAGCCTTGATGGTGACGAACTTCTCTCCACCAACGGTGATACCGGTACCGAAGGCAGAGTTGGGGTCCTTGAAAGCAGCGGCAAGGCCCTGGAGTTCTTGAGGGGAGATCTGTGCTCGTCGTTAACGCTGGGTTCGTGCTGGTGAGGCGCTGATTTGGCCGTGGGGTCACGCCGATCAAATCAGCGGCTGTTGGAGAGCGTGTCATACCGTGAAGCCGGGAGAGCCAGCCTCAAGGCCGGAGAGGTCGTGGCTCAGAATACCGGCCTTGTCAAATTGACCAGATCCCATCAAGCTGAACGGCCTCGCGTCAGAATTCCGATACCAACTTGGAGGGGCGGCAGTGGCCGAAGCGGGGTAAACATGGTTAGGTTATACGGTACCTGGAATCGACATATCCTGAGCAGGAAGAAGAGAGAGAGAGAGTCAGCCTAGAACTACCAAGTATAAAGTGCTATACAGAAAGAATGGAATGTCGCAGGAGCATGTGTTATCGTCGTACCTTGCCAAATAGCGGAGTGCTGACCCATGGTGACGGTCGGATAAACAAATGACGGGACGGTCGGGAAAGGGGAATAGAGACGGATAGGCAGAGCAATCCGTATGAAGAGTGGAACGTGGGGGTGGTAAAAGACTCCGGGCGAAGACTAGGAATCGACCAGGAGAAGGAGAAATAATGCGCTGGGGAGAGGAAGGTGGTAGTAGATAGTAGTAGAGGGGAGTCTCGAAGAAAGTTGGTGGGAAAGGAGGGGGAGAAGGAGACCGACGATGAGGTGAGTTTACTAAGGGCGGGCTTGGGTGGTTTGCTGCTGCTTTAGTTGGTTTAGTTTGGTTTTGGTGGGGGGTGGCATTGGTTTCCATTTGCTTTTTCCCAGCTGAGCATCTCCTGCTACTAGTAATTCCTGCCCCGCCAATTCCCGACTTTTCCTCATTTTCCTCTACTTGTCGGTCACCGTAAGATGGATGGATATCTACTGTTTATCATATGCTGCTACTTAGCTCATATTTGAACTTTATCCTCACTACCAAGTGGTACATGCCGAGATCAAACATCATATCGCCTCTTCTTGCCCTTCCGCTCACTACTATTAATGACCAGCTGTCATCTACTCTTTTTGGGGGTGAGTTTTATGGTACGTCTTCCTACGTCATCCCCCTAGCAACACAGAGCTGGACTCTGAATAGCCTCATTCCATCACTGTCTAGCTTAACCTTGGGATCACCCACCAAAGCTACGGTATGCGTAGAGAGTATCCAGGCGGTGGAGGGCTCAACGGCAGGCCGACTCCGTAGTTCATCCACTTCAGTATAGGATAATTAGGATTAGTCCCCTACCGGTGCAAAACTAGACCCTGTTAGACACCCCAAGCATGTCCACTTTGCGGGCCTCTTTTCACCGGTTTCTCCTTACCGCCTCTTCCATGCCTATTCATCCCTTATGCTTTTGCCATGAGACAAATTCATCGGGAGCAACTGTCATCTGCGAGCTGAGATGATGGGTGGTGGGTTGACTGGGCACGTGCCTTGTCATCGAGTCAGGTGCCGGGGATCATCTGCAGCCATCCGTCAGTCACTTTCGACTAACTACTATCCATCCTCGACAATTCCCTTGTCGATGACGGTGGGTAGCGGAAACTCCCGTCCATCATTAACATTTTCTAGTGATGATTTGAAATACTACACCATTCTCAAGCCATCAGTCTTGATCTTACCGAAATAATAAAAAAGCTAGAAACGCCATTCAGGAGATGGCTGGTCCGTGACTTACCTTAAGGTGAGGGCCGCGGGCCAGTTCCTTGGGCGGCCTCTTACTTTAATTTCCCCAGTGGACTCCTCAGTCTTATCTAGCGGGCCTCGTGCCTCAACGGGCTATCGCAATCTACTACGAAAGGGACTCGGAAAATTGCAACATTCGGCTGCCGATGGAATGCAGTCACGGTCGCACGAGCATCTCGTGAAAGGGTTTTCTCATCTGAGGCATCGGTTAGAGGATCCGTAACACCAAGGCCCTGAGAATGAGTCTCAGGCCTTGTGTGATCGCCAGGCGATTGAGATTTTCACAATCTCATTGGTCGAGCGCACAGGGGTTTCAGAACAGCTGGAACCAATGATTCCAGCTGCGCCAACGCTCATACTTCCCAACTCGAGATGAATCCGTCGGCCGGAGCCTCTCTCTTTGGCCCCTCGTCCGCGCTCGTAATCAAATGCGCCCGCAACATCCAACGCTAATTTGCAGCTACTAGAATAAGCGCCTCGTGTGGTTCTCGATGGCCTTCACCTATGTCCTAAATCACAGGGCTGTCAAGTTCCTGTGACTGGACGAATGTCCGTGTCCAGTGTCAGCCATGCGGGGATGCCGTGTGGTCTCTCCTGAGCAATTTCTGTGGAAATTTCTGTTGGCTGTTCTACCGTCGCGCTTCGTCAGATCTAGCACGATGTTTTAATCTAAGCCCTCACACTAGTTCGCCCCTGCCACACGTCTCACTTAGATGTAGCGCTCTGCCTAGTGCTCCACAATAACTGCCGCAACGTCTTAACTATGCTGCGCTGACCCTCTATCGCCCATTCTCCTTTTCTCCCCATCATGAACTGACTCTTTCCTTGTCTGAACTGCTTGCATTTCAATTTTGGGTCTTCTGGAAGGCCGTCCATTCCTTTGTCTTGAGATTTTGATAGAAACAGGGCTTGGCTCCCTCTAACGTTCTTTACTTTTTTTATTTCACCATCATCTTTTTCCTAGCAATACTCTGGAACCTCACCCTTCACTTTCACTTCAGTATTTGAAATACAGGCAGTCGTGCACAATGGCTAGAGGGACGTTTCTAGGAAGGTCACGTACAATTAGGCAGGCGGAGGCTGGCTCTTCCCCAACATCAAAACACCCTGATGTGCTGCCACGGAAGGGCCAAAAGTGTATCGAGGATGGCGCAAACAACAGCCGCCCAGCGCCTTATCAAAATCGGAGCTTTCATCGCCCAGTGGTATCTGAAGGGCACCCGCAGAAGAGGCTGCAAGCCATGAGCCCTATCAACACCGAGGCTCCTCCGCTTCCCTCTTCCCCCATATCGTCACCCGTCAGCACCAATAATGACATGAATGGAAGTCTTATCGGCGTCGCGTTGGGAAGTCCTCGGATGATCGACCCGCAAGTTCCCACATCACAGATACAGGAGACGATTCCTGTCAAACCGGCGGAACCCCAAGCGCGACCATCGTTGCAGCGCAAGCCAAGCAAATGGAAGAAGATTGGCGGCCTTTTCAAGGCCAAGGCTGCCATGACAGCCCCTCCAAATCAACCCTTCTATCAGGTCCGGCTCGAAAATGAATGGCCAATGCAAGGCTCGACCTATTCATTCGAGCAGCAGCCAAAGATCCAGTCTTCAGGCCTCGAGAATCCTGCCAGTCCCACCACAGGCACGGACGCATGGCCCTCTATAGTACCGGAAGTCCAGACTTCTACGCAGGAACCGAAACAGTCTCACGCAGATGCGACCAGTGGTTCGCCCCAGGAGAAGGAACAGTCTCTTGGATCCGGTCCCCTACTCCAGGTTGACATTCCTGACATCCAGCTGGAGCGATACAGCGTCATGTTCGGGGGAGTTCTCAAGAAGAACAGGCCATCTTCCATGACCAGGCGCAGCAAGAATTTGGAAGATACGAAGCCTCCAACTGAAGAGGTATAGTGGCTAAAACTACATCTGAGAAGATATCACTTATACTGACGTGATATTTAGGACATTCCTCACTCTCCGGTTCCGACACGGTCGAAATCCCCCAGTCCCAGTTTCAGCCTGTTCCCATCGACCAAAACCAGCAAGGCCTCGAAGGTCCTGGGAAGTCAGAATATTCCTCGCGGCCCCAGTCCAATCCACAAGAGCCAAACATCCTTCGGGGAAACGAATCAAGAAAATCTGTCGGAAAAGAATAGCGTGGTCCTCATGGTCCATAGCTCCCAACCGTCGCATAAGCAACAGAACTCAGTGTCTTCATTCCTTTCCTCCACGACCATTGGTTCCGAGGACGAACGGCTCCTTTTGCAGAAATTAGGCCCTGTCCGCTCATACTTCGACGCAAGGGAACCAGAATGGGAGATCATCAACAAGAAGCCTACAGCAAAGGAACCCGTACGCGAGTCACCTCCATCATTAAGGATCGATACGCAGGTAGATTCGCCCAGAACGGCCAGCTATGCGTCATCAACTTTGTCTGCATCATCAGACACGCCTGTCAATGCGCCCCGGCAGCCGTCCCCGGCAAGCAGACGAACCTCCCCAACTTCACCCAGACGCAGCCCTTCCGGGGACACCAAGAAGGAGAGCAACCCATCCGATCCGGCGAACCCCGTCCCCACCGTCGAAATCTCAATCGCACGATCCGTCTCCGTCTCGAAAGGTAAAAGGCAGGTCCTTGTACCTATCAGGCCACGGCCGGACCGTTTGGATCCCAATGAGCGCGTGGGCGATAAGAAGGGAAAAGCGCCCAAGGTTATGGCAGCTGATCGCAACCACCTCCCTGGACGATCGCAGGAAGTACTGGTCGACACCATCTAAGCGATTAGTCTTGGGAAGTCGGCATGCTCATGATCACGTGCTTATTTTATGCTATATATATCAACATTTCAGTCTTTGTCTTCTTCTTCAACAGCGCAGGTAGCGTTCACCATTCTGATTTTCTTATCCAGCTAGGTGCACCAGAGTTGGTAGTATTTGATTTTTGGATTATCTTTCAGCTTGCATTTCTTTCTGTGACAGTTTAAGCTGGTACTCATACCTAGTTACTTTCTGCTTGGCGATGTATATCAGGACATGAAACACTCTCCTGGAATTTCATTTGGTTCGTTTCTCTTATATATTTTGGACACTATTATTAGTAGTATGTCCACTACCAACTACGTCAGAAATTGGGTTTACCTATACATATATCTCGTCTGTTATCGAGTTATTTGAACTCGAATATATCCACTCATCTATTGAGCTTTATGTACTAACATATATCTATCTATCTTGCATTTCTGACCCCATCTGAACTTGAATCAATTCTTCTCAGGAACGGTCGAAGACCCAGGCAAAGTCTGGGTCCCAGACACACCCGCATCCACCTCCACATCAGACAGCGTCCACTTCATACCCGGGTACGAATCACTAACGACCTTGACCGTAACCCGCATGCTCTGACCTCTTACGTTCTCGGGGAACTTAACAGACGAGCGAACGACAAGCGGTCCATTTTTGTTATCGTTAGGCTTCCTACTCGGCCCAGATCCGGAACCACCTCCGTTACGCTGATTCGATGACGACGGCCAAGAAACACGTTTCAGAGCCAGGAGCTCCCCATTCTTGCCATCGGAGGATTCGCCGCCACTGTAAACGAGCATGAAGTAGCCCTCTGTCTGGGGTTTGGGGAACCGAGGAGCGTAGATTCTGTAGTCTCTGTCTCTTGGGGCGTTCTTGCGTGTCAAAGTTACGGTGAGACCGTTTGGAGTGATGGTTGGAATAGACAAGGATAGATTGGGTAGGTTGGAAGCAGCTTTTGTGAACTGCGCGGGGAGGTTGAGCTTCTTGGTGAGGGATTCGGTGGCTTTGTAGGGGAGGGATACGAGTGCGGTGAGGGAGGTGGGGAGCACGGATTGCTTCTCTGCTGGGTCGACGCCGGGGAGGATAGACAGGGGCGCGTCTTCGGGCCATCTTGCTGATTTGATGCACTGAAGCAGGGACATGAACATGTGGCAGGCGTGGAGGTAGCCCAGTTCAGCCATGACGTCGATCGAAGCTTGGATGATACGGATGCCTTGGTCGAGGACGGAGGTTTGATCACCGACGTAATCGGAGATGGGGAGATCGATGCGCGACATGTATGCCTGGAGCAAGAGGAAGGCTTTGACGTGTGGATCCCAGAGGGGGAGGTCGCCCATGGATTCGACTGAGAGGGGGAGGTTGCGTGCCAGTTCTGCGTTGATCAGGTCTTCGTTGTGACGCACGGGCAGCTCGTCGAATTCTGTTGCTGAACACATCCAGCTCAGGACATCGTGGAAGGTTGGGTTGGGTTTAGCGTGCGCCATGAGGTAGCGGATCGTTTTGTGAGACAGATAGTAGTAACTCATAATCTTGCCGAACGGGGTTGGATCAACTTCTCCGGTTGCTGAATCGAGTACGACACAGGAAGACTCGGCCAGCTCTCCGAGCGACTTGTCAACTAGCTCGATCATGAAGTCCTGCGCTATCGCCTGCGCTGCCATGGTGTTGTGCTCCTCGGCTGAAATTTCTAGGCCATAGTAGGAGGGATTCTTGTGCAGTCGGCGGAAGAAGAAAGTCCAGGTCAAGTAGTCAAGGGCGTCCTGCTGTGTCGTGATTGTTCCTGCGGAAACTTCGGCACCCAAGTGGTTATCGAGCACTTTGTGTAGTGTTGACTCGACGGGGAATCCGGTATGCAAGAAATGCTTGTAGAATGCCTTCTTTGCATCCTGAGTGAAAATGCGCGCAATACCTGACGTGTCAAACTGAGGACGTCCTGCTCGTCCAAGCATCTGCAGAACATCGGTGAGATCCATGTCCCTGTATCCTTCAATCTTAGCGTCGAAAAACTGGGTTCCCTTCACCACGACCAAATGTGCTGGAAGGTTAACACCCCAGGCGAGGGTACTGGTGGCCACGAGGATCTGGATCTTGTTGTTGCCGAAGAGCTCCTCAGCTAGCTGTCGGTCTGACTCGACTAGACCAGCATGGTGCAGACCAATACCGAAGCTGAGCGCCTCGCGCAATGCGTCATCTTTGACTCTTGCAAGGTTCAGCTGAAGATCTTCCTCGGACATCCGGACGAATCTACGAGGATTATCCTCCATACCACAATAGTTGATCAAATCCTTGGCAGTCAATCGAGTCTGTCGACGGGAAGCGACAAACACAATCACCGGCTTTTCGGGAGAGTGGTTCTTGATTGCCAAGAATGTCGGTCGATTCATGGACTGCATCAGCGGGCAGAACCCACGCTGCTCCGGGAATCCGTCAATGTAGATTTCAAGCGGTACAGGACGCACGGAGTGTCGGAAGTTATATAGTCCTTCTTTCACGCCGAGCCAGTTCGCCAAGTCGGTGGCGTTCGCGCATGCAGTGGACATACCCATCAGCCGAACAGAACCCTTGGATTGCGGAGCGATGTAGTTCATTCGAGACACAATGATTTCAAGAATAGGTCCTCGATCACCACCCAGCAGGTGAATCTCGTCGATAATCACCAAGCTCACCTTTCGCACGTAGTCTCTGGTCTGCCAGCTACGGGAGATACCGTCCCACTTTTCGGGGGTTGTGATGATGATATCGGCGTCCCGGATAGTCCGTGTATCAGGAGTGTTGTCACCGGTCAATTCCACCAATTTCAGGCCCATGGGTGCTGTAAGACGCTTCTTCCAGTCCTGAACACGCTCACGAACGAGGGCTTTCATCGGTGCAATGTAAACAACCTTCGAGCCCGGCTTTTCTCTGAAGGCCCACCACATAGCCAGCTCTGCGGCTACAGTCTTTCCACTACCGGTCGGGGAGCCCAGCAGAACATTAGCCGGGGTGTGGTACAGCATGTGGAAGATCTGCGTCTGCATTGGGTTGAAGAATTGGAAACGCTGCCCATAGAGCTCCTCCAAAATCGGATTCTTTAGCGCAGATATGGGAAGGGGTTGGAGATTGAGTAGATCAGTGTAAACACTTTCCGTATCTGGACGGATCAAGTGCTGGAAAGACACAGGATGCACCGTTTCTGCGCCCAGCCAGCGGTCAGAGATTGCACGAACGTAGATTTGACTTGGCAGGGGATCGGAGAGCGGGATGGTGAAATTCAGCTCGTGTTCATCGTTTAGCTTCTTCCTGCTGAGGATGAAGTACTCGTGGTGATAAATCTCAGATGTCTCAGAGTTTTCTACCCAGATCCAGTACGATTCGGAGGCACCGTGATGCCTGTCATTCCAAATAAACTCAGGGTACAGACTCAACCGAATTCGTAGAACATCACGGTTCAATGGTGCAATTTCAGCCTCCACTCCAAGGGTAGGGAAATTGTCAAGCAGCTTTGCCAACGTCTTCCCCATTTTTTGGTTGTGAACCAGCTGGCCAATTTCGGCTGTCTCCATGTCTCTCATAGATTCGATGGAGGATGTCGGAAGCTTGTCATCCAAGTTCCTGAGGATCGGCTGAGGAAGATCAAATTGATGGAATGGGTGATCAAAAGGCCACATCTGCTTCTCAATAGCCTTGCAGAGTGACAACAAAACTTGACACTGGTAACCCCAACGGCGATTCAAGGCAATCATGAACAAGGAACGACAAATTCTGGCTGCATTCTGTGCCACATACCCTGTATCAGACACCAGAGCAAAGTCTTCAATCCTAGCGCGAGAAATGTATGACTGCAACAGAATGTTGGTTTTGGCATGTGGCGAGTCATTGCCTCCCTCAACCTCGGTCTGAATGGCCTCGTCACGGAGTCTATTTAACTCTTTGGACTCGGTTTCCCGGGCTTGGATGTTATCGAATTCACCACTCATGCTGATCATTCTGAGCACATCCGCCTCGCTGGCTCGAGGACGCATCAGATTGTTGAAAATTTCAACACTGGTCTGCAAGACATAGTACTGGCTTGCAATGCGGCCAACATCTTTCGCTCGCAACTCTTCTGTCTTTTCGTTGTATATGATCATTTGACTCTTTTGCAGCACAATGGCAGCTTGGATGACTAGCTGACGACGTCTTTGCACCAGCATAGGATCGTCACGAATTTCCGCCCAGTCAATTCCGTAATTGCGTGGCTCTCGTTTCATGCGAACAAAAAGATAAGAATATCCCAGCCATTGCACGGCTTCTGGGACGGAGGTAACCGTTCCTAGGGAAATCTCGGCATTCAGGTTATCCACCAGCCGGCTGGAGAACCGAGATTCAATCGGTTGCTGTGATGTTACGGCAGATATATAGTGGTGGAGCTTATCGTGGGTCGTGCAGATGAAACCAATACCTGTGTCTTGGAATTGGGGACGACCAGCACGACCGAAGATCTGTAGCACATCCAATATACCTAAATCGACGAATTTACCCTCTTGCGGATTGTACAACTGAGTACCTTTGATAACAACCGCGGCAGCAGGAAGGTTGACACCCCACGCAAGTGTGGCAGTACAGCAGAGTACTTTGATGAGTCCTTCGGAGAACAGACGCTCCATGAGGTTACGATCACTCCGGCTCATACCAGCATGGTGTGTCCCAAGCCCACTGGCGAAAAGCTCACGCAGTTCGCGGGCACGGCTGCGTTTAACATCACCAAGACCATTTGAATAGCCTTCGTGCTCCTGGCAGCTGAATAGGTTCTCACACCCATCCTCAGTAGCCATCTGCTTCAGCATTCGAGCAGTCATGACAGTGTCCTTACGAGAGTGGACAAAAACCATGACTTGATGCCCTCGTTCGAGCATATCACGGACCTTCTCAAAAGCTACAGTATCAAGGTTCTCGCGAGACTGCTTGGTGCCAGGTTTGCCTTTCACGCCGATGAAATGTTGTTCGAGAGGAACAGG